GGGTGTAGATGGAAACCATCTAAAGAAGGAGGTCGAAGTGTTGGCCAAGGACTTGCTTGGGCACTTGGGGTTGTGTAGTGAGTTAGGGCGTGCACGGATCTGGATTGTCAAGGCTCTGAAGGTGTATCTGTGGGGTCAGGGTTGGGGTGTTGGGCCAGTGTTGGGGTTCGGGTTTGGGTGTTTCGGACTTTTGGGGCTGAGCTGGTCGCTCCACGCTGACGTGCAGGACGTCGCGAAGGTGCAGGCCGACATCAAGTTCTTCGATGATGGCGACTCTCAAGACATCAAGGCAAAGTGTGAAAGGGTTGTGGAGGTCTTGAACGACCTGTGTGCGGGTGGCTTGAAACAGGCCAAGGCATTCACAATGGAAGTGCTGCTGATCATGGTGATGGGGCGACTGAGGAAGGAGCCCACTGATTCCAACAAGGAGTCGGTTCGCAACCTCGTGACGCTCTACAATGTGCAGTTCGCAGGCAATTGCTTTGGTGTGGCTGCTGATGACTTGAACCCGGTGCTGTGGGCACAAGCGTCTGCCGTTTGAGCTGCCATGATGTGATCTGCCGGACCCTGCTCTCTGCTTGCGTGCCATAGAGGCTTAGGCCCAGGCCTGCGAGCATGTGAAATGTTTGCTTGCAAGATCCTGTTTGCGCTGTATCCAAAGGATTCCGTAAAACATTCTGTGCTACGCACTTTTAAGCAGCAGAAGTGTCGCCTGCCGTCGCAGTGTCACAGGTTAGGCACGTTAGGTTAGGCTTTTAAGGCCTGGGACATTAGCTTTCAAGGCCTGCTTGCTAGTGGCGACCTCGCTTGAGGGTTGAGTTGTGTATCAGTATATCACGAAAATTCGCCGTGCCTCCTCAAGTAGAACAGATAGAGCTAGTAGATAGAGTCTGGAAGGCATGACTTCACGTCGTCAGGAATGCTTGGCTGCTGCCGATTTTCACACGTGTGATCCTTCTGACTTTGTCTCAGAGGGCACAATGTTACCTCTGCCATGGCTCAGCTTAGCAGGCCTAGCAGATGCAAGTTATATTGCAGCATTTTGGGTGTGCGCTCAAGGGCCTAGGAAGTCATCGAACTGCAGTGTTATCCTATGGCCCTATAGGGCCTCCTGACCTAGTGGACCTAGTGTTAGCTGCAGCTTTCTGTGCTTCGCCTGCAAGGCTCTTGTGGCTTTCTCCGCTTTGTGTAAACCAGCGCTTGGGACTTTGAGCAGGAGGGTGTGAAAGACGCACTCGAGTTGTCACTCCGAGATGTTGATAAATTCATATGCACATATTTGGACTATTTGGACTGGGAACATATATGCTCATTTGAAACATATTGGATTCTCCATGTGAGATATCCTTTTCTGTGTGA